CCCCTTCCCCCACTGTGTGGCTTTTTTTTTTGTGCCTACTTGGAGTTTCATTGGGATTTTGTGTACAGCTCTATTATGTTTTGGAGAGCTTAAGAATTGGGTTACAGAACATTATACCTAATATTCCTGTGGTCTTATTGAGTAGTGGGCAACCCTCCAGGCTAATAACTTTATTGCACCACAGAAACCTTAACCAAGTACGCGTCAGAAGTGCACAGTAATTGCATCCTGACACATGCCCGCCTCTACACGTGAAACGGATCAGACCAAGAAAGCAACTCTTTCTAAAAAAGGAAGAGAGGTTCTTATGGGACTCAGACCAATCTCTAGATTATTTCTTAAAATCAACATGAAATCAAAATGAACACTGTTTACTTTCCTAAAGCACATTCCTGGTCTTATTGTTCTTGATTCATCAGTGCGTGCTGTTCCAAATTTTCCAAAAACAAATTGTTTGCCTTTATAATCTTTTATCAAAATGTAATGACTTGGTCTGCCACAGAACGACTTTCCATTTTGGCTGAGATTCAAAGCCAAATGAATGTGAAAACTGATATAATTTCAATCAAAAACAACTTAATTCTAGTGTTTGTGTAGTTAGCAATAGCGCAAAACAAAGTGTAAATAGTGCAATGCAATTGCACTGGCGCTTATTAGCTGTTTATATTTTAGAAAATATTGTTTTTGAATGTACTGATTCGGATACGGACAGAGTCCTGTTTTATTACCCGCTCTGTGTTGTATCCAGTGCTGCTAGGTCATCTTAATGGATGTAGCAGATACTAAGCTTAAGACTGGAAAAATAATTTCCATGCGGATGGTCTGGTCTCAAGAGCGCATGCATGTGCATTAGTGTGTGTACTGAATCCAGCGGTTAGTTTAAAATCATATGAGAGACCGTAATATAGCATTCATGAGCTTATAGTAGAGTTCTCTACCTTGGGGAACATCTCAATTGCTTCAGGAAAACAGGACAGATTAGGATTGTTTGTCTGAAATGTGGGAAGCTTGCGATGTCAAAGAGAGTCTCAGTTACTCTTCAGACTTGTGGCCAGACTTATTCTCCAAGGAACTGGTTCTCCCCTAGGTCAAAGACTCAAAGCTTGTAGTCAGTTCTAGGGTTTCTAAGAGGTCATTAGAGGGTTAATGATATCTCAGATCCTCGTCCTCTCCACCTGAGTGTTGGCATGCGTAGCCCCAGACATGCCCTCAGCAGACTTCAAGGACATCCTTCAAGTTCAGCGAGCAGAGCGCCATTCTCAAGCCTGCTCTCTGGAGTCCAATACTGAGGATGAAAGGTATGTCTGGAACAGATGCAACATGTGTTCTTGTGCATATGTGCCACTGCTGTAGTGTCCACGATGGGGGCCATGTTCCACCTGAGTTCACTGAGCATGTGTGATGCTCTGTGATGATGTCTGTAATGCTCCCCAGTGACAACATTTTAAAAAAAAAAAGTAGAAATCAGTACAATAATGGCTTTAACTTTGCCTTATATTTATTTAGCACTGATTGTAAGTGTGCAGAAGCAATCTGGTTATCCACTGTTATGATTATAATCTTTAGAACTGGCTGGTCCTCTCTTCACAATCTCATAACTGCCCATTATAGATAATAAACCACAAGTGATTGCCTGAGAGGCCTTTGGAGCATCAAAAAGGCTTGTTTTATTTTATTACAGACTGGTTAGGTATTAAATAAATTTATCTGTGTAAGAAATCAGAAATCATGAAATGAAATGGTCTGTTTTGTTGCTGAAAAACATTTGAAATAACTGTTTTTTTGCAAGTACATTAAAAAAAAAAGCCTGATTACGTAATTGGCAGCGAGCAATGTCTTTACCTAAAGAGTATATGAAAATGTGAACTCCTAAAAAAATGAAATTGTGAAGGCTGACATTTTGATTAGGTTTTAGCGTAGGAGTATGGGGTGACTGTAATGGAAATGAAACTGTATAAACCTGGCCTAAATATGAAGCATTTTGACTCAGACTAAAGGAATATATTCAGTGAGGGTACCTTCCAGAAACCTCATCCAAAATAGCTCCGGATGCTGGTATCAGCTAAGAGGATAAACGCTAACCTCATTGCCAAAAAAGGATCTAGTTGTTTTTGTCATTGTGTCAGTTTTGTGGTTTGCTTCAGGAAACACTAAGCCGTCAAGAGACTGCGTGTTGCCTTGGGGTTGTCTAAAATTATCCTTCTGTCTAATTATGCACATTTTATAATTGGCACCAAACTGTTGACTCAAGTTTGAACTTTAAAATAATAGCAGTCATGATGGGTTCATCGTCATTACTGGGATCCCTTCCGTGCATGGCATCAAATCTTGTTTTAGCTACAGTAGACATGGCATCCTGTTCCAAGTGTTAAACCCAGCTGCTTTCTATTGTGATTCATTCAATGAGACATACTTTCTAGCATTAGAGGTGAATGATTTTTTATTATTATTGGTTAACATCACAATATGCCTCATGTCTGACCACTGATGTTGCATGCATCTATCATCAGGTCATCATTTCATCACTTCCCATGAATCACTGTCCTTCTGAACCAAATGCAATCCCTTATTGAGGCCATTCTCACTTTAAAGAATTTTATTTCTGTAATAAAATGGCTATAAGCTGTAAGATGCAATCTGCATTTAATATTTATATTAAATTTAAATGTGAATTTAACATTGAGACTGGCAGGCAAATGTGGATAAAATATGCAGTAATTTAGTAAATAATAATTTATTATTTATTATTTATAATATATTATTATTAGTAGTAGTAGTATTGTTGTTGTTATTGTTGTTGAAACTGGCGTTTATTTTGTAATACAATCCATAATTTGAATTAGACCACAATAGTGTAACAATGAATGCATTTCTGGGTGAAGTGCCCTCAGACTTCATGGTTCCCATTTGTATCATTCTCCCATCAGTCTCTTTTTTTAGTTGCCACTGAAACATAAAAATAGTTAATCCCCTGAAGTTTGGGACTGACTCACGTGTGAATGTGTCTGTATGCTGAACACCACACATCATTTTCTCAGTCTCCATTGTTTCTGTTAGGAAACAGACCAATGTGTTATCTCAGGAATCACTGTAAACAAAGGTATGGAAGAGGCCACATACAATAGTCTTGTTCATACTCTTTTTGTGGTATTTGAGTTTCCTGAATAAACAGAAGGCAGTCAATGCAGGGAGAAGCAGTCATTTCCTATAAGGATTATATTTTTCCTCTTTCCATGATTAGAGCTATATTTTCCTTGGTGTGCGGTGCAACTGAATGTTTGCAGGTAACAATGTGGGTTTAAAATCTTGTTCAGCTATGTTTTATGATAACATTTGAAACTATGCAGCCTTAAAGTCATATTTCACATAAATGGTTACATTTTTATTGTTGAGGGTGGGATTTTGGCGAAGTAAAGTGTCCTGTATCATGAAAAATGGCCTTCAAGTTTATACTTTCAAACTGTCCAACTGTAACGCTCTTGTTTGTTCTGAGGATCTCCTTTGAAAATGAGATAAGTCGGGAGGACTAGAAAATCATTGCTTGCACTTACCCAGCCAACATATTTTATTGTATGTAAATAATGGGTTTTACAACAAAATGTAAGAGTAAGAGAAGCTATTTCCTACCATTTGAGATAATAAATTCTCTGCTGTAAACTTGGGGATCTGCCTAATGAGATTTCGACAACAAGAAGGGATAAAGTGATACAGACTGGGCCAATACAAAGACTGGCCTTATTAAAGAGGAATGCAAAATTCTGTTGTGGTTTAATTCAAATTGTGTTTTCTCACTTTTTTAACACCTCCACAAGTGGGGGAGGGTGCACGTTTTTATCAACAGTCATGATCAGCCATGTGGGTAAACTGAGCATGTTTCCTGGAATGTCCCAGACAGCAGTATCATTTTCCATCAGGGACTTTGGGCTGTTTTCAGACGCTGTTGGTGTTTTCACACTTCTTACAAACTCTCATTCTGCTGTGGATTAAGGGGAGTTCAAGACTTGGGGTGGGGGGTTGATTGCGTGGGCTGAGGTGTCTGACATAGCTCCGTCTTCACAGGCAACCCTGGATCACATCCATCGGCTTACTGAGTAAGCAATACTGTCAATTGTCTGGGTCGCGAGAGACCATTGAGGTCTGACCATTCCATCAATTAAGGCATGACTTGTGTGTCTTAGTTTCAGACTTCTTTTCCACACATTCATGATATGGAAAACCTGATGATTGATTATGCAGCTGTTTATTTTAAGACCCCATCTGATGAGTAAACAGTGTTTTGTAGTACCAGCTTGATTAAACACAAAATAAACTGCTACTGGTACGGTTAAATCAATAGCTTTTTATTAGAAAGAAAGCATCTGCTTAGGATATGCACAAACAGGTGCAAACGGCATTACCTAAGTGGAGTTGTTCTAACTGCCTAGTGATAATAAAACAATGGAAAAGTTAATCGCATGTGTTTATGATCGTTGATTAGATTTTCAAATATTCAAATGATTCAGTGAGTAAAGTCCCAAACCATCTTTTATAAGTCAATGAGAGATTGAACGTGCAATAAAAACAGTTAGATATTTCTCTTAGTCACTCTGGGATATATCCAATATGGCATGCTTAATTGTTGTAGTGGAAAGACAATGTTCTGTTCCAGCACATTGATCCAGCCCTCTTCATTATGTCTAGCTCTGGTTTAAGTCTCTTCTGTAAGTGTAACACTAGTGTTGCTGGTAGTTATGCAAAAATGAAAACACTGTCATCATTTACTCTTACCCTCATTTACATTTACGCTCATTCCAAAACTGACATAACATAAACAAAGATCTTTAAGTGTTACTCTGGTGTAGCTCTCTCAAGGAAGAGTAATTTTCTGATTTGTGACACCTGTGGCATCATCCCCAAGGAAAAAGTTAACAGAACTGTGACAGTAAATATGAATTGTGTAACGGAACAATTCCCTATAGTATAAGCTGACAAGCTTTTATTCTGTTTCTCTGTCTTATCAGGAGCATTCAGAGCCAGACTTGGTGGAGCAGTTGCGTTCAGCGGGTAGCGTGGACGAGCTTATGAGAATAGTATACCCCAGCTACTGGAGCATGCTGAAGTGTCGTTCCAAGATGGGATCGCGCTTACCTCACAGAGATCACAGCTCCACAGAAACAAGGTCGGAGGAGGCCTCCTTTGCGGCTGCTTTCATCAATCTTGAAATTTTTACAAGTGAGTGACTATTAATTTAGGACAAGCACAGACTGTCATTATTGTCTTACAGACAAAACTTTTTGACAATCCTGAGACAAAGTTTCTTTAGGATGCCAAGAATGTGTCAGACCGTGATCTGCAATAATTGCAGTGCATACAAATCCATGCATTTCACTGTTGGACTTTTTTAATGTGTCTGTTCTTCCTGTCTTGCTGCGCTTCCTCCAGGTATTCAGACAGAGTGGAGAAACACCCTGTGCATGCCACGCCAAGTTTGTTTAGATGTGGGGAAAGAGTTTGGGGCAGCTACAAACACCTTCTATAAACCACCCTGCGTGACTGTCTACAGATGTGGGGGCTGCTGTAACAGTGAGGATCAAGTGTGCAAGAACATGAGCACTTCATACATCAGCAAGACGGTGAGTGATGCTTTCAGCTTGTGTCTGCATCCACAAATTTGTTTATGTGAAGGAGGGATGGAACCAAATGTGAGCTGTATTGACATTCATTTTTAAGCTTCATTTTACATCACTCATTTTACATAAATTTTACATCACTTTTTGGCCTTCCATTCACACGGAGGCAGCATTTTATCCTGTGAAAACTGAGCTTATTGAAGGCGCTCTCCCAAGTGGATACATTTGAAAATGTTGTTTTCACATTGTAGTGTTGACTGTGAAAATGGAGGCATTCAAACTGTTGCACGTTTGAAAAGGTATTGGAAAATTAAGCATGTTTAGCCATGTTACGCATATCGTACTGGTAGATATCTGCAATTATGTGCAATTCACTTTCATAGCTAAAGATATGTTACTTTATAAACTCTTCATATCACAGTCCTGCAAAGGTGATAAAAAAAATGTAATCTGCCAGAAGAATGGCATGAGAACTTTATTGAGTCTGTTAGATTTGTATCATCTCAAGTGAGATTTTTTTTTTCTGACGTTTCAGTGTAGATGAGAAACTTTTGGAAAATGCTTGAAATCAGTAATGTGGACAGCGAGTGTTTTGTAGCAAAGATGCCGTTTTCAAATGTGTCCGGAATAATGTTCAGCACTCTTTTGGTTTAAGCCTCACTCACATCTGGTTCTGTCTGAATACAGATGCAGATTATTTTCCATTGCATCAAATACAGATAAATATACAGGCAATTTTTTTCACTGCATACACTTAACTAACACCTTATATATAAATCCATTCCTCTATGTAATAACATAGTAAACTTGAATAATCTTCAATCAAAAGCATCTGCTTTTTGTTTTAAAGCCTACACCTAGAGTAGACAACTCAGATGATCAGTTAAGCTTTGATTTAAAGAGTTGTGAATGAAGCAGGGGTTTGGTTGGGAGGTCATGGCTGTGAATTATTTGCAAGAAGGCCTCCTTTAATTACCCACTTATTTTGGGTGGGCTGACCTTAGCAGGCAATGGGTTCTCCTCGTGTGATTTAAACCATGACGCCCTCCCACCATTTGAGCCGCCTGAGCAGGTCAAGGTCTCCATGTCCACGCTACTGCACCAGAGACGTAAAACTCCCATTCTGGGCACAAAGCCTGAACAGCAAATGCAATGTGAAGATATTTCAAAACATTTTAGTAAGATATGGATTATGGAATTACAAGCTCCAGGTTTCATTGACGAAATGACTGGGTCAAGAGTAAAGTACGCATTAGATGAACATGCTTGCGATTTGAATTACTGGTATTAGTGTTGATAAGCTATTTACATTAAGCACAATGCAATGTAATGACAACATAGCCTTTAAAAATGCCTACAAGAGTGAAATATCTGTGAAGCAACTGTGACAAGTAAACATGTTAGCTTGTCATCAGTCTCAGAGAGAGAGTGAAAACATATTAAATGGACTTTTGGTTTCGTCTGACCCTTGTTTCACCTGCACCTAGGTAATACTTAGGCCTAGTAGACTGTTAATACTGCAGTAAAGTGTTTTTATCATCAAGACTGGTGGGCTGACACATTTACAGGGTGAGCAAGTGAAGCTTTTGGGATCACTTGTCCTGGTAAAAGCAGTTAATAACTAAATTATAGAGTCCTGCGAACATCAAAGAGAAAGAGTGTGTATTTCCAAAGATTTTGACCCTATTGCATTTCACCAATTCAATCTTTGCTGAGAAGAGATGGGTTGTTAATTTGTTCCATTGTTCTTGATTAATATTATGTGTTAATGGCCCATTAAAGATAGTAAAAATAGTTTTCTTATATTTACACTGTGCCTTTGTATTGTTTTTGCAGTCTGGATTGAGCTCATCAATGCAGTATATTTTCACAGATTTTGAATGGTAAAGCTGTTGTCTTTAGATGTAGCTATGCAGTTAAAAAATGTCTACATGACTTTGTGTACTTAGCACATAGAAGAAGGGAGAGGTGAAGCGAGCCAACCAGTGGGGTCAGGGAGAGACTGTAACATCCTATAATTCTCTTTCTCATCAAACACAATTCATTTATGTGTGCCTTGAGAGTGGTTTATTAATCCAACAGGAGCTGACGTGGGAGGTTTAGCATTCCAGAGGTTTTGGAAACTTGTTTGTTTGTTTGTCCCGCTAAAATAATTTACTGCCTTGGTTCTAAAGAATGAAGTATCTAGGTCTATAGCAGCTAGTATGCATATCAAAGAGACTACACAGAGTGCATGATGAGTAGACAAGACAATAGAGACCAAAAATGAAATTTATGTCATCTAAGACTCAGCCTCGTGTCATTCCAGGCCTGTGTGACTTTCTTTCCATGTTCTTTTCCATGAAATTACAATTACGTCAACTGAAGCCTTCAAACTTAAAAAAGATACAATATCACCAGGAAAGTATCCTAAAAGTGGTGAGTTAACCACTGAACACTGAAGGGGAAAGTTTAGCAGGGAATTCTGATGCTGTTTGGCATCAGAACACATGGAATATAGCAGACAATTTATATGGACCTATTTTATTTTACTTTTATGGTGCATTTATGTCATCTTTTGAAGCTTGACCAGAGCATTCTTCAGAAATTCTACTTTTATGTTCCACATTAGAAATAATGTCATATGCATTTGCAGCAACCTAAGGGTGAGTAAATGATGACAGAATTTTAATTTCTGGGTAAAATGTCCTTTTAAGCAATTAATTGAATTGTAGTCAGAACCTATAATGATTTTAGCTGTTCTTTGAAAGCACATCTTCTTTCCTAATGTGCTCTCAATCTAACAGGCAGTTAAAATCATGCACATTACAAATCAACAATGTTCCTCATTGTCATTTATGAAAAAAAAACATTGAAATAAAACTATATGTATCTGGCCATTTTAGGAGCACATTCCCGTTACTACCATTTATAATTGCACATTCAACATAAATTCCTTGGTATGTTTCCTCATAGCAGGAGGAAGTTCTGATTTATTGGTCTAACGGTATTTGCCTGCCTTGCAAATGATCTTGCATGAGTTCCTTATTACCCATTTCCCCTTACCAGTTTGATCAGACTGTAGTTGCGGTTGTGTCTGTACACTGATTTCGCAGAAGGGCTCTGTGCAATCACAGTTGCACAACTCCTTTAGACATAAATCCATTCATTAATCTTGATTTAGGTATAAGTGACTGCCCACAATTCATTTTGACATCTAGCAAACTCCTTAAAGTAACCCTTCATGCAGTTTCACATCTTACCTCAGTTTGATTTAATTGAAAATATGACCATTCTTCCATTTTCATTCTGCAGTTGTTCGAAATCACAGTTCCTATGAAGTATGGGGCCAAGCCAGTCACCATAAGCTTCGCCAACCACACTTCCTGCAGCTGTTTGTCAAAACAGGATTTGTACCGACAGCAGCACTCCATAATTCGAAGAGCCTTACCAGAGTAAGTGTTCACACTCCTTCACATATCCCTAAGCGCTATTTTTAAAGTGTGATGAAGATTTTTGATGATTTGATGAAAGGTTTTGATGTGTTAAGTCTGTACTATCTCTGTTGCTTTGAATGTTTGAGAGGTTAGAATAGGATATCAGTGTAGACTATGTACCACACTGTCATATTGTATCACGCCATAACAGCTTGATGCAGTCTGTTCCAAATCCATTTGTACTGTTGTCGGAAGTAGCACAAGCGCGTGGAGTACACCACGTCGTGCCCCATAAGAAAAAGCAGCGCATAAGAATGACATTGTGAAGATCAATATAAAAACTATCATTTTTCTTTGAAGGTTTTTTCCACACTGCTTAACCCTCATGTGGTGTTCGGTTCCTTTTTGCTCTGAAAATTTTTTCTTTTTCCCGAAAATACTAGTTAATGTTATCGCATTGGACTGAAATTTTGTGACTTTGTTCACAAAGGATATAACTACTTCTAAAAAAAATTTTGATAATTTTCATACTTTTCTGGGGGAGATTTTTCACCTTGTTAAAGAAGTTGACAAAAAGATTGAACCCAATATTTGGTGATAATATAGCATAATGAGTGATTTATTAGCAATTTTTTGAGGCCGGGTCATTTTTGCCTGGGAACACCACAAGTGTGACTTTGTGCCATTTTGTACAAAATAAAAGCATTTAAAAGCAAACTCCCTGATTAAACATTAAAGTACACTAGTGTGATAAACAGTGCAAATTTTCATCAGTTTTTATTTAATATTGTGAAAATTATTCATAAATAATGCTTTTTTCACTCAAAAAATTAGGTGCCTACTCTCAGATAAATGAGGCCTACGATTAATCAGAAGCAAATATAAATACAAAACCAGTCCTAAATGAAAGAAAAGAAGTTGACAAAAAGATTGAATCCAATATTTGGTGATAATATAGCATAATGAGTGATTTATAAGCAATTTTTTGAGGGAGTGCCTTTTTTGCTCTGTAACCTCGTAAGTGTGAAAGGGTTCTGAACACAACACAAGGGTTAAGAGACTAGATGAAGTTAGCATGTTGCTAAAGATTCGGTGACATTTACCATTGTCAAATTTTCTCAGACAAAATCCAGTAATTTCAATAGGAATCCATGAGATAGGGAATTTCAAGTGAGGGTGAAAGATTTCCCCATGTAGATTTTGCAATGTGTCCAAGTTGGTTATGTAGTTGCCAACAGAAAGTATTGACCAACAAAAAGCTGCTTAGTTTGGAAGTGACTTCTGTGTGAGCTGTGCTTCACACATCGCTACACTATTGACAACAGACCTAATTTTCCATAAAAAATGCAGTAATGTGACCACACCTTAACCCTTGTGCGCCACTTAAAAAAAGTTACACATAGGTCCATAGTGGACAAAAATGTCAATGTCAAAAAAACTGTCATCAAAATTTGAAGCTTAGGAGCACAGAGTTAAGTTTGGTCTCATTTTAAAGAAGACCCATGGCAGATTATTGTTGAAGTAAAAAAACTTTAAAAAGTGAAACCAAAAAAAGTTATAGAGGTTTAAGTTTATGTAAATGATTTATGAACGATATTTTATATAAAATATATATTTTATGAAACATGTTGAACTCTATACCTGCTAGAAAATCAAAGCCATAAATCTAAACAAGTTGTATTCCAAATTTGAGGTTGATATCTCAAAAAATGAGCTTTCAGTAAGATTTTGTTTGGGCGCAGTACCAAATTTCCCCCATTAGATGCCAGCAAAACTCTGCTGGTGCACACAGTGGTTGGATTTGTGATTTGCAGAGTTTTTCTCTCTCAAATATTACAAGAACACACAC